GTAATAACTGAAAGCGCGGCAAATCGAGCACCTTAAAAGAATTAAGTTTTACCATATGCAAGGAATAAAAGTAAAAAAATTTGACAAAATTTCGGCTAAACAAAGATGGACCAGTAGCTATTTAAAATACCAAAATATTTTCGATTAAGATTTATTGTTCATGAAAATCCATACTCTTAAGAAACTGTAGCTAATTTTAACATACAAACCACATAATCTCAGCGAAGAATAATTAGCCAGCGCACCACTGACTGTTGGTGCGAAGATGCATTTTTTGCAAAATTTCTCGCAGGTTTTTGTCACTAATGGTACTTTTGTTCCGGCAGATGCTTCTAGCTAAAAGTATTGAGTCTGCTCACCATGGCTATGAGAAAACATTCCCTTAAAATTCCAGCTTTTTAGCTTTTCAGGTTCCCAATTTAGTAACCTACTCGCAAAAATCATTCATAGGCCCGTACGTGGAAATTATGTGCACAAGAGTGTCCATTTTGATGACAGAGGCCCGTATAGGCATGTAGATTAAGTTCCCAAAGTTTCAACCTTGTGGCTTTTGTAGATGAAAAATCGGTACAGACGCACAGCGCATACACAGACAAACACATACACATATACAGACACACACACACACACAGACAACCTCTCGACAATATGCGTTTTTGCATGCATAGATGCAAAAAAAAGTATAAAAATCACCTGAGGCGTAATGAGGCGTTTTGTCATCCCTTCTTCTTCTTCTTCATAATAAGCTTTTGTTGCCGGTTCTTCAGGAGCAGCTGGCTCGTCACTCATCTCATAGCCGTCTTTCGTAGGAGGTTTTTTCGCCACCCGAGTACTGTCCACCGACGGCAGTGCATTCAAAAGTTCTCGAGAATTCCCTGATTTAACTAAGTTTTGCAGTTTTTTCAGTGCCGTAAAATTTTTCCTCATAAAATGCATTGCATTAGCCACTTCCTAAAATACTTAAAATATTACAGTGAGTTACACCAAACACTTCCAGAAAGCAGCTTAGCATGGTTTATCTAAAAAAAAAAACAGGCAGAGTGCCTAAAAACATAATATTTTAAAAATATGTCAGCTCCTGTTTTTATAATAGGATATTTTTAATTTTTAATTTTAAATTCCTTGTGTTTTTAATTTTTTTAATACTTCCACTCCAACGAACCAAAAATATAATTTTGCTTTTTAAAAAAAATTGACTAATATGCCCCAACAGTTGATATTCTGGGCAAATAAATAAACCGAGCACACGTATCTAGCTAATTGTATCGCTCTCCAACAAAGAATCCTTCGGTTCTACAAGGAAAAATTGCGCGAAATTTAAAACAGCAATAATTTTTGCTGCTTTTTCACTTTTTTCACGAATGTCCCAATTCACCATCATTTTTGAGAAAAACTTCGAAATCCTTTCAAAAAAAAAAAAA